AACAGCAGGGGCCCCACGTGCAGTCCCCCCAAGTCCCGGGGCATCGCCCGGTGCCCGCGTCAGGAGCTGTGCTTCTGCCGCTTCCAGAAGCGCTTCACGTCGCCGTGCCCCGCAGGCGTCACCACCATGAGCCGCTTGGCCGCGTTCTCGAACACCAGCACGCCCAGCTCCCGTGCGTGGGCCAGCAGCAGCTCAAAGTCCACTTGCGACAGGAACTGGTTATACAGGACGCCTGGGGGAGAGGAGGCGAGCCGTGAGCCCCTCGCCCCTCGCCCCAGGCTGCCCACCATGTCAATCTAGACCTCTAAGTCTCTTCCTTGGCTCATCCAACCATATTCAGGGAGGCAACGTAGTGCAGTAAGAAAACCCATAATGCTCACCAAAACCAGAGAGGTGACCCCTCCCAATTTCCCTCTCCTAACTAAATCCAAATTGCACAGATTTGAGACTCGCCCGGAAATAAAGTGTCTTGTCAGCAAGACAAAAAAAATGCATCAATAGCTTTTTCAGGTCATCAAAACGGAATTGTCCTTCCTCTGGCCAAAGGCTAAGAATCAACCACCAAAGCCACTCACCCTCGGTGAAGCGGAGTCTGTCCCTTTCCAGCTCCCACAGCCGAATCTGGTCTGTGATGGTGGGCGGCAGCACAGGTGTCTGCAGGGCCAGGGGGTGGCTGTGAGGTTCCGGAACACTGCCCCAGAGGACCCAGCCCTCACGCATCCCCGATTTTCCAGCGCTTCGTCACCAGTGCCAGGGCTGCCAGCCTCCAGCATGTGGTACCTGTCTGTACCTGTTTAAGCATCACTGGGTGGGCCCTTGTCCTTAGGAAATGGATGATCTAAAACAACAGAGAAGAATGAAATCAGGAGCTTGAATAAGAGGGCAGGAAAACTCCCTCGGCCATCACCTATGTCAGTGGAACATCAACTTACTGCTTACAAACTCTCAGCCACCGGGCTGTCATCAGCCCATTCCGTGCTCAGCTGTGGTCCCAAGTTGCTGTTCCCACTGGCCATGTCTGCCATTTCATCTGCCTTTGCACAGTCTTATTTTGTTTTTCTTTAAAATAGCAGCACTTAATGTGTGGCAGGCTCTGAGCTCAATGTTTTACTGCTGCTCTCTCACTGAATCCTCCCCTCAATCCAGTGAGTTGAAAACTCAGGATTCCCATTTCCCACATAAGGAAACAGGCTCAGAAACGAAGCACCTAGCCTGTTTATGCAGCTAGGAAGTAGTGGTGCCAAGACACAAATCCAGAGCTATCCCTCGTCCCTCCAGTCTTTCCCACGCCTAGAGCCTCAACTTCTCCTCATGTGCCTGCTCCATGCTCAAGCAGGCAAGTCACACCACCCACTGCAACAGATCTTCTCTAAGGGGACCACACAGCCCATGTGCATCCCATCTTCCCGCCACACCCCCCAAGCGGGGCTACCTGCTGGGCTGTAATGCCGCTGGCGATGGCCTGCTGCACGCTCTCCCGGGTGACCTGCGCCACCACCATGCTGGGGAAGCGATAGAGCATCTCAGAGAAGAGGGCAATGAGGGCGATCTGCAGCTCCGACTCTGCCCGGGGATGGGAAGAGAGGATGAGGAGGCTGCCCTGCACCCAGGCTCCCTCAGCCCTGCCCTCATGTGTGATCGGAAGTGTCGGAAAACTGTACACTGTCGGGTAAACTGAAAAAACCTGACATTTCCTCCGGCCTCCTTCCCTCCCCACTCCCATCCCAACCTGCTCTCCCAGGGCCGCTGTCGCCTCACCTGTGTAGGCGTACAGCCGGTAATTGGTTTCCACGACAATGAAGCCTGGCTGATGTGCAGTGCCCCCCGCCCCAGAAACACCCGATGAGAGATTGATGGCCAGGCGCGTGGGGTAGTACCGCCGAGACTTCCTCTGGGAAGGGTGGAGGGAAAGGCAGAGGGCCCTCAGGTGTCATGCCTCCTTCCTGAGACACCCGATCCCTCCCAGTGCACAGAGCCCCACCCAACTTCTCTCCCAAGGGACCCAAGTATTCAGTCTGGCAGCTGCTTTCTGCTGCCTCGCGAAGGCCCTCTCCTTTCTAAAGGCCATGGCAACGTGGGCCCGCCTCTTCCCTAGAAGCCGTGTGTTTGGGTGCTCATACCTTCCTCTGGAAAACAAGCCCAAACTCACGCAGATGCTGCAGGAAGTTCAACAGAGAATCACTCATACCTTCCACAGAGTAATCCTGGGGAAGAGGTAGCCAGCTGGGGTCCGAAACACCTCCCCTTCTCCCCCTGCCAAGCCCACCCACTCGCTCTCTTTTCCCATCTCTGGCCGTGCTCTGTTCATTCTCATCTTTCACTCTCTTGCCGCACAGCCTCACTTCCCCTTCCCATCTCACCCCTTCAGTTCGCCCACCCAGACCCCCAGCTCCAGCCCCTGCATACCTTGCCCAGAGTAGAGAAGCTGAGCTGGAAGAGGAAGGAGAGGATCTCCACTAGGTCCATGCCCCGACTCTAAGGAGGGGTGCACAGAGACAAAGAGAGGAGGGTCAGGGAGTAGTCTGTTGGCAGCAGCCTCGGAGGGGGCCTTGGGAAGAGCCGCGAGCGGCGAGCAGCCCCGCCCCTCACCTGGGCCGTCTGCAGGTACTGCAGCATGAAGTACCAGAGCTGGGCGGGGGTGTCCAGCAACAGGAACTGGAAGCCAGCAGAGGTGATGCAGGGCGGCTCTCCAGGCTCAGCACTGGGGGCGGGGAGAGGGATGGGAGAGACGTGCAGAGAAAGGCCACAATCCCCACTAGTCCTCTCACGTCTTCTGGTTTATCTCTGGCCACACTCCATTCAACTCTCCTTTTTCAGTCAAGCCCCTCCACTCCAGACCTCCCAGACACTCCGTTTAGCAGGCAAAGGCAGGCGAAGCAGGGCACTGTCGTGCCTTTGGCTTCCTCACCTCTTCATAAGCCCCGCCTGGCTGAGGAGCTGAGCCAAGTCCTGGCTGACGGCTGCACTGGGGGAGCCCACCATGAAGTGCAGGACCACCTGAGGGAGGGGAGAGAGCAGATGCCTCTAGGGCCCACGGGAAGGAGCACAAGCAGAGACACACAGAGTCCCAAGGCCTCACCTCCCATCGCTCCTCGGCGTACTTATCCAGTGAGGGGACATCCCGGGCATGCTTGTCTGGTCCCAGCTGACTTGTGTCATCAGACCAGGCCTTGCCCCTATGCCCGGATAGGCCAAGAGTAAGGAGCCCTGCCTGTGTCCCATGCCCACCCTCTGCCCTCCTTCCACCCTCGTCCCCAGGGGCCATGAGTGGGAGGTCTTCCCCACACTGTGCAGCTACATCCGGTCCGACTCATTCCTAAAGGGACTCCCGAAGGAGGCCCTCAGGTCCGGAGGCCCTGACCCGGCTCAGGAAGATCAGGAAGGACATACCCACCCAGAAGCGCAGTGCGGAGGTTCTGGCGGAAGACGGGGTTGAGGATGAGGCCCTGGAGACCACCAGGAAGCAGCTGCGTGTGCCAGATCCGGAGGCCGCTCAGCAGCCCTGTACTTTCCTCCTGAGCTCTGACACAGAAACAGGGAGTGAGGGGGTGTCTGGAGAACAAAAAAAGGAGGCCCAGAATGGCCTCCATTCCTACCTTTTCTGAACTGGTGATCCTTGGGTCACTGTTTCTGGGTGAATCAGTGTCTTCTTAAGGCAAATTTCTGTACTGCAGCACTTACCAGAGCCTCGTTACAGACACCACAACTCTCCCCGAGGGAAATACAGCATGCTGAGTTTCCCAGACCTATTTAGTTACAAGTTTTGTGCTGTACCCATTACTATTCCTGAAAATGTTCCCGGGAACAGCAGTTTGGGGAAATCTAGCTGTTGAGAATGCAGCAGACTCACTTGCTGAATTCCTTCTTCACCCACAGGGCCACAGCAGCTTGTGGCAAAGGCTGCTCCAGAAAGAGCATCCGCATCACCCAGTTCTTAGCCAACGACGGGAGCTCCCTGCAGGGGGCAGAGACAAAATGTTATTGTCAGCAACTGCTCTCCACCTGCACCTCAGCCTCTCACCCCCACAGCCTTACCCGTCTCGCCGTCCCACAAACACCATCTGTTTTGACCTGATACACTTTCATCTCCAAGCCCCTTAAAATTATGCTCCTACCCATGATGACTTAGCCCAGTCTGCAGGCCCATTTCACTTCCCACCATGGTGCCTGTCAGGAAGGGCATCCTCACCTGAAGACAGCCAGACAGGTGGCAGGGTGCCCGTAGAGTCGGTCCAGTACCCCAGGGCTCAGGCCCCCAAGGAACTCCTGCAGATTCCTGCATTGTAGGTGTGCTCGGTTCAGTCCACCCCTCGACGGGGTGCTCTCCATCACCTGAGATGCAAGTGTTAGAAACGCAGCCCACAATGTGTGCCAATGTCACCCCTCACCTTTCCCATTCAGGTCCCAGATCCACTGGCCCCACCATGACCCATCTTTTCTCCGGTTTCCCTTTCCATGTCATTCATCTCTTGTTCCTCCCAAACCCGACTGACTTCTTCCTCTCCTGCCTCCTCACCCCACTTCTGGCCTCAACTCCAGTCTTCTCTTAATTTCCAAGCAAAAGACTGTTAATTGTCCCATATTTTCAAAATCATTTTGTATTTCGGTAATTTGTCTCGTCTTTACTAAGCAGTGACCTCTCCTGGTCAGAGCAGCCCCTACGCTCCACATCTGTCAGACCTTCCCATCTACTTGGCCCACGTCTCTTGCTGGCCACGGCAATAAGCTACCTCTCCCTCCATGTCTCCCCAATCTAAGTCTACCTCTTTCCTTTTCCTCCCCCCAAGACTACTGCTTCACCCCATTCGACCTGATCCACCACGTCCGATCTAACTTCCCACTTTCCTCCCACTCCTCCCTCTCACTCAAGGCTCCTACCCTCCGCCATCCCCTCTCCCGGCCCCTTACCACTCTGTCGACCCCAACTCGTGTACGTTGCTTAATCGGAGTCAATGTCTCGCACTGGCTCCAGGAAATAGGGGAAAGGATGGTTAAAAATTAGAGAAAAGTGTAGGGAGAGCGACGAAGGCTTTCACAGACAGGGGTCCCGAGTGGAGGATTCAGAAGAGAAGGGAAGGAGTGGAAAAGTAGGGAGGATCAGAGCAGGCGCTGCACCCGACCGCCGCGGGGCGTACTGGGATTTGGAGTTTTGCCCTTGTCCACCCAACAAGCTGGCTGAAGCGCGTCTGACTACAACTCCCAAAAGGCACCGCGGGGAAACAGCAAGGAAAGAGAGCCCGGGACACCCGAGCCCGGGACACTTGGTTCCGCGTCGCTCTCCACTCTCGCCGCCCCTCGGCATGTCTAACCCACCGGTAGGCTAGGCGGCCCGAGGGCTTCCTGGCGGAGGCGCGCAGACAGCTCGGTGGTGAGGCTCTTAGTTTTAAAGACCCAGGAACGGGGTTCCTTGGACTCCGTTGCTCCCGGTAAAATTGTGATACTGCGTTCCCCAGTGCGTTTGCGCGGGTTAGGAGTTGTTAATGGCCACATCCGCCATGCCGTCCGTCCCCCGTCCCCCCCCCTCACCCCCCCCACCCCCCCATCCCCCCGTAATTAGAAGATCCTAGTAAATACAGTGTTTAACACAATTGCTCGCTCTGATTTGATTGATGAACCTACTTCAGGAAAAGGGAACGGGCGTCTTCAGCCAAGATGAAAGCTACACACTTCCCTAAATTCGTAAAAGGCCAGTTCTATTCCCGTTTACAGACTACAAGGCCGAAGGCCAGTGAGATCTAGTATTTTCCCACGACCGGACAGCTGGAAAGCACCGACGCAGGGACCTAAAGGGCATCTGCCCTGGACCAGGGACTAACTGTGTAACCGTCCTGTTTGCTTTCTTGTTTCTTTCTTTAGCAATTAATGTTTAAAGTCCTCAAAGAAGGCCACAAAATTAACAAAGCTTCTCTATGCAAATGTTAAGTAAAGTTAAAAGACAAACTACAATCTGGGAAGAAGTATTTGATAAAATGGACAAAATACAAAGAGCCCTTATAAAGCAATAAGATAAAGAAACAGCATAGTGGAAAGATTAATAAGAAAAATAACAGGCAGAAACAAGAAATACAAGGGAAAACCTCTCAACTTCACTGGTAATTCAGAAAAAAGTAAACTAAGGAAACAATCACATCCAATTTAAAAAGAATTAAGAACTGTCCACCTCGATGTTAGTTTAGCCTTGGTACGTGAGCATATGAGCATACTCACACACTTTCCCTGATAGGCATGCTTTTTTAAGGGCAATTTAGCAACTCCCCCTTTAAGAATGTTTCATACTAAAATTCTACCACCTGGGTACAGAGATATACATGCAAAGATGTTTCTGGAAGTGTGTTTGTCGTGTTAGGAAAACAATGGAAACAGCCCAAGCGTCCGTCACTGGGAGGTGGTTAGATAAGATGTGGATCTTTGCAACATAAAGAATACTGGGCAACACTTAGGAGGGGAGGTACAGTGGTGACCGGGAGCTCCGCACTACCTGTCACGAGGGAAGAAAAGCAGATTACAAAATGGCACGCCTACCCTAGGCCATCTTTTTTTTTTTTTAATATATTTTATTGATTTTTTACAGAGAGGAAGGGAGAGGGACAGAGAGTTAGAAACATCGATGAGAGAGATACATCGATCAGCTGCCTCCTGCACACTCCCTACTGGGGGTGTGCCCGCAACCAAGGTACATGCCCTTGACCGGAATCGAATCTGGGACCCCTCAGTCCAGGCCGATGCTCTATCCACTGAGCCAAACCGGTTAGGGCCCTAGGCCATCTTTGTACAAGCTTTCACGTGTGTGTAAAACTCAACTAGGGCATATGCTTCATGTTAATGGAAGAGAGAAGGTGGGGCTGGCAGACCAGGCCACATGTAAGGAAAGCTCTGAGGCTACTGAGCTGCTAGCCACCTGTAGCTATTTCTATTCAAATTAAAACATTTACAAGGTAGTTCTCAGTCACACAGCCCGTTTCAAGTACTCAGCAGTGGCTACCTACTGCCCGGTGCAGGTATAGCCTCTCCTCGTCACAGAGTTCTCTTGGAGTTTCCTGCTCGAAGGGATGCAGTAGGCGAGGGCACATGTTCCTGGCAGGAACTGAGCAGGCTGATTCCTGGAACTGGCCTTCAGGAAGAAATCAGCCTGGGCTCTTAGGAGCTGATTTGTAGAAAGCTCCCTGATTTAGGGCTATCCAATCTGTGCTCCAAACTTGCTGTTGAAATAGGAATTTTGGGGGGTGAAGAAGGCAGGTATAGGGAATTTTTAAAATTAAGGGGGTCCATGAAAGAAACACAGGGCTTCAGAGTTGCAAAGGAGTTACATTTCCATAAGACAAGGGAGCAGGGAGCCAGCAGAAGTTACGTTTCCATAAGACAAGGGAACTGGGAATAGCCAAAGGTCTATATTTACAAAATAAAGGAGGGCCTCACATGTCCCATGTGAGGTTTAACCTTTGAGCTCAGGAGTTGCTATAGTGACCAAATCAAAGGGGAATAGTGGCCAATCAGAGGGGATATCAAGGCACAAAAACTGCAGCCTTTATAAAGGGGGGGGGGAGGACCTCTGAGGGACTCTTTCCCCCTCCCCACATGGGAGTCTGTGCTGTGAGATTCTTTCCCCTTCCCATGTGGGAGTCTGTACTTGTTCAATAAATTTCCACCTTTGCTATCCCACCTTCCGTCTGTGGATTCATTCTTCGACTCCTACGGACAAAGAATCTGGGGAAGCCATCCTGCCCAGGGGAACACCGTGTGTTCCAGTCCAAAAATCCCCTATCACTGTGATGTAGAGTGAGCGGCGTCCCCTCAGGCAGCATTCTGGAGAATGAGCAGAGATCCAGGAGCCCACAGGCTGCTTCTCAGCAGCACCGCCCTCTGCAGCTGTGCCCCCCTCTCCAGCTGTGCCCCCTCCAGCTGTGTCCTGCTGCTGTGTCCCCCTCTGCTGCTGTGTCCCCCTCTGCTGCTGTGTCCCCCTCTGCTGCTGTGTCCCCCTCTGCTGCTGTGTCCCCCTCTGCTGCTGTGTCCCCCTCTGCTGCTGTGTCCCCCTCTGCTGCTGTGTCCCCCTCTGCTGCTGTGTCCCCCTCTGCTGCTGTGTCCCCCTCTGCTGCTGTGTCCCCCTCTGCTGCTGTGTCCCCCTCTGCTGCTGTGTCCCCCTCTGCTGCTGTGTCCCCCTCTGCTGCTGTGTCCCCCTCTGCTGCTGTGTCCCCCTCTGCTGCTGTGTCCCCCTCTGCTGCTGTGTCCCCCTCTGCTGCTGTGTCCCCCTCTGCTGCTGTGTCCCCCTCTGCTGCTGTGTCCCCCTCTGCTGCTGTGTCCCCCTCTGCTGCTGTGTCCCCCTCTGCTGCTGTGTCCCCCTCTGCTGCTGTGTCCCCCTCTGCTGCTGTGTCCCCCTCTGCTGCTGTGTCCCCCTCTGCTGCTGTGTCCCCCTCTGCTGCTGTGTCCCCCTCTGCTGCTGTGTCCCCCTCTGCTGCTGTGTCCCCCTCTGCTGCTGTGTCCCCCTCTGCTGCTGTGTCCCCCTCTGCAGCTGTGTCCCCCTCTGCTGCTGTGTCCCCCTCTGCAGCTGTGTCCCCCTCTGCAGCTGCACCACCCTCTGCAGTTGTGCCGCCTTGGGCAGGTGGCTTCACCTGGCAGCGTTTTCTTCCCTGTGAAGTGGCAGTATTTTTAGCTAGTTCATATGTTGGGAGTATTAAATATGTAAATATGGCACAGGGCACATAGTAGATGAATATATTCTTTTTAAAAACCACACATTTAAAATCACACCTCTAGTCAGTGCTACAAAGAAGAGAGTGGTGAGCTGGTGAGACGGTTTGCAGCCGGGAAGGGCAGAGCTCCCCTGGAAAGGTAAAAAACCAGGGATCTGGGCAGGAAAGTTTGCCAGACCTCTGAGCCCAGAGGGTCGGAGGGAGACCGCGTGGCAGACAGCCGCGTCTCTTGGGACAGACACAGCCCCTGACTGGGGAAAGGAGTTCCGCGGGTTTGCTGGTTTGAGGTTTGGATTTTGTGATTGCGGAGGACTGAGCCTAAAGTGGGCAGCCTGAGAAGCTGACCAGATCATGCAGTGCCCGTAAGAGAGGAGCGTTTCCCAGACCGGTAAGAGAGGAGTTTGTTTGTTTGTTTGTTTGTTTGTTTGTTTGTTTGTTTGTTTGTTTGTTTGTTTGTTTGTTTGTTTGTTTGTTTGTTTGTTTGTTTGTTTGTTTGTTTGTTTGTTTGTTTGTTTGTTTGTTTGTTTGTTTGTTTGTTTGTTTGTTTGTTTGTTTGTTTGTTTGTTTGTTTGTTTGTTTGTTTGTTTGTTTGTTTGTTTGTTTGTTTGTTTGTTTGTTTGTTTGTTTGTTTGTTTGTTTGTTTGTTTGTTTGTTTGTTTGTTTGTTTGTTTGTTTGTTTGTTTGTTTGTTTGTTTGTTTGTTTGTTTGTTTGTTTGTTTGTTTGTTTGTTTGTTTGTTTGTTTGTTTGTTTGTTTGTTTGTTTGTTTGTTTGTTTGTTTGTTTGTTTGTTTGTTTGTTTGTTTGTTTGTTTGTTTGTTTGTTTGTTTGTTTGTTTGTTTGTTTGTTTGTTTGTTTGTTTGTTTGTTTGTTTGTTTGTTTGTTTGTTTGTTTGTTTGTTTGTTTGTTTGTTTGTTTGTTTGTTTGTTTGTTTGTTTGTTTGTTTGTTTGTTTGTTTGTTTGTTTGTTTGTTTGTTTTCACTGAACCCTGCTCATAGGACAGTTCGGATACAGACACTCACCTGTGCTGAAGAGAGGGCGAAGGTGCGGACGAGTGGAATCTGGGGAGAGGCTGAGGAGAGAGGGGGAGCCGGGGGAGGTGGCAGCGAATCCAGTGCTGAGCCCCCCCTGGGCCCAGGACTGGGCCAGCCATTCTCTCCAGAGGGTGGAATTCCTCCCCCCAGCCCCCCAGGCAAGGAGCACAGCCACACCCAGATTCCACCCTGTATGAGATAAAGGATTAAAATAAGCTAATTAGTCCCTGGGAGTTACCAGGGTCTGGCCTATAGAGGGACTTTCAGTCCCACCAACAACACAGAGCAGGGTAACAATTAAAAAAGGATAGAGAAGCTGTATAGACTCAGAGGCCAACCCAAAAACACTGCCACCCAGAGGCTGAGCCACAAACTGACTCTTAGGTGAATACAAATTAAGGCAGACTGGATCACAAATACGGCCTGCTTTAAAATCAG